AACATTTCTTGTATGTTCAAAAAATTATTTAAAACATTAATCTTGTAAAATTATTTATGCATTTGCAATTTTGTGGTGTACATTCATTTATGGCACCTCTCAGCTTCATCAAACAGTCTGTGTAAACAAATACATCTAATGCCACTTCAGATGCAGCTTCTGTTTCCTTTGCAGTGGAAAAATTGAGTTTGTTGATACTGATTTCATTTGAATGGTAACAACTCTACAGCGTCTTATTATTCTAACTGAATTAATTGAAAATGCAAGAATTTGATGTGAAAGATGACACATTTAATAAGGTTTGGGGGAAAAAATACCATTTATAAACACAGTGGGAAATGACATCTGTTTTGTTATATACAGCAACTAATTTCTGCCTTTTTTTTCCAGTCACAGAGCACTTTATTTTGAGAGTTGTTTAAGTGAGAGAACATCTGTAACTTAGTCCAGATTGGGGGAATTATAATGTTTAATAATTTCTTTTATTATGTATATAATAATTGTTATAACAACAAATAATTGTTTTGCATCGGAAAAAAGTAGATTTTTGTTTGTATATGCTGTCAATTAAGAAAATCGGAATAGGCAAACATCAGTATCGGCAGATCACACTTACAAAAAAAAATCGAAAATCGGAATCAGTCAAGAAAATTGCAATCGGTGCATCTCTATTCAGTTCCCTCACATTATAGGCATAACCAGTTTTATTGTCTTTCTTTTTTAAATAACTACTAAACAAATGCAACAGTCTGAAAATTAGGACATACTAGAAACTAAATGCATCAACAGAAACTCTGTTAATGATAGTATCTAGCAGTGCAGCCTTTAAAGATGAAGTGTGTTATCTCTGTGAAAATAGCATCACCATACTGATTTTACAACTGGTTCAAGCACTCAGACAGGTTTTACCAAGACCAAAAATGGGTCTTCCACTAAAAAGACAAACTACAAACCTCATGTTGGGAACCTGAGATGCTCAAACAGAGTTTTGGTAGTGCCATTGTTTATACTTTTTGGGACAATTAACCTATGAATAGCTTACTTACAGTTGTCTCTGCATATTACGCTGGAATATAACACACATAACAACACACCTTTATACTTTATGCACATGAGCATTGGCATGACCCTTCAACACAAAACCAGTAATCTATCTTAAAGATAAGATAATTAACAACTTAAAGATTCTCTGTGATATTTCAAACACGTTCAATGGTAAACCAATGAGGAAAACAGAGTAGCTGCACATGGCCTGATGACAATGAAGTGATGATGTCAGCTGCAGTCTCAGAAGTGCTGATGGGTCTGAATAATGCACCCACACTGTATTCAGCACTATTGTTGAGCTCTCAATGGCCTTTATGAGAGGGATTCTACTATCACACTGGTATCAACAACTTCTGGCCAATGAGACCATCTATCCATCTACAGACCAAAATAAAAATAAAAAAATCACTACAGAAAGATCAATACAAGTATTTTTTTTTATAAATTCACACTTCTCTACTTGATTGCTTCTTGTTTTTGGATCTACAGATAATTGGAACCATCTGATGCATCTTTACAGAATAGTGCCCTAAAACACAATTACACTACTATGCTTTCAAAAGTAAAAATAAAATAAAAAATGTAATTACTTATCAACTGTATTGTTTGAATAATTACTCAGCTTTTTACAGACATTCATTCTCAAATGAAAAATAAAATAAAATTTAAGCTGAATAACCCAAAACCAAGCTTTTCCATAAATGTAATGCTTAAAAATAATATATATATAATAAATCCACCACTAATAATAATGTATTCAAAATGCAGAATATGTTTTTTTTTATAATGTTGCAGTCTAACAATTAACAGGTTATCGTGTCAAAATAATAAAAATGTTTCTGGATATCACTTATTAGACATTTCAACATAAAATCGGCAACGTTTCATGTCATGAAAGACAGTAATGCTTGATACTGATAAAAAATAATAATAATGTTTAAGAATACTTGCAAAGAAATTATTTTGTAAAGACCCAACATTACCACCAACACATCTTGGCACTTAGGCAAGGCCAGAAACAGAAGTTAAAATTTCTGCTCACACAACTCTCCATTACAGGAAACACCCAAATATTCATATTGAAACCATATGTTAAGTACTGATCATAAAAACATAAGCCATCTACCCTAAAACCATCTAATCCAAAGAAACACATTCCAGACATTCCTGAACCAGATCACAGACACACACACACACACACACACCCAACACTGAGATGAAGTCCAGCACTGCAGAAATCCCATGTGCTTCCAGAGAGTTGAACTGAAACTATAAAGCAAAAGATTTAAACTTGAGTGATTGTGCGTGGGCGGAGTCTGGTGCTTTTGTTATTCAAATAAGGACGACGCGCGCGATTTACTATCACTACTAACAGCTATTCAAAGTTAAACTTACGACAGAAAGTCTGGTTTTACTTTTTAAATCAACAGTATTTCAGACAATGACCACATTAAGAGATTTTACATTAACAAACCAGCGAAACAGAATACCTTAGCTATGGCGGACTGAATATAAACTCTGGAATATTTAATAAAAAATATGATGAATTAAATTGTTATTGTGTCTCACTGTACTTTCATTTGATGCAAAGGCACCCAGTGCAGATTCACATGCTGCTCCTTTAACGCAGCAAAAGAATGACAGGAATGGAGGGAAAACGTCATGTATTCAAACCATTAGTCAGTCCGCATGCGAGAGAGGCTCATAAACAGCAACAATAAATCAGTGTTCATAAACAACGGATACAGAAATCAACAGTTAGAATGAATGAATAGTGTATTAAATACAAATGTTCTGCCAAACCACAGAGTCAAGTAAGTTAACTATTAAACGTGACTATTTTGCGCACGAGTGGAAAGAGTCACTTGCACTTTCGTGCTCATACAAGACAATGAAACCGAAAGGTCCGATGTAGATGATCATTTTAACATTAAAAAATAAAAAAACGAATGCAGAGTTCGTGAGGTAAAACAGACGAGCTGTGTTAGAGAACAATAAATGCGCGCCGTGCCCAAGTTTCCTGTCTATTAATTCAAGTCAAATACCAAAACAACGCTAAACAGTTGTACTATTTACATAAATAATGAGTTTAACTTGTTTCTACAAAATATTATATTACATGCAGATAGAGCTAGTGACCGTTAATAGCAATACATTATGTTTACTTCATAAAAGCTGAGTTGCGGGCGGACTGAGCGCTGATCTAGTTCTGTACCGTTAACTACGCAGTCGCAATAAAGGCATTCTCATACAAAAACAAACATGCAAAGTGAATTGATTAAGATTTCTTACCTTCAGTCGATCTTAATATCCTAAAAATCTAAAGCTTATCCACAGAACTTCATAAAATAAAGAATATTGTTTTAAAACACTGGCCCCCGCTCTGAATTCGTTCCTCCCTCTGTGACCGCTCAACCTACCAGCGTCCTTGAGGGCGGGAAGCTCTCTGATTGGCTGGGATGTCCCGTTTTGAAATTTTTGAATTTTCTGATTGGACGGCGGTGGGGATTTACGTGAGCGTTGATTGGAGGCGAGGCATTTGAGCTCGAGGGGATCGGGTTTTTACAAAATGGAGTTCTTTCCTAGCGAGAGAGTTGATCAGTGTGATATGACTATGAGGAAAGAGAAGATGGACAGCCGACGTCATACAGTGTGCTTGTAAACGCGAAAAGTTTCTTGAAAAGGGCAATTATAGTTGGTTAGTAATGGATCGAGCCATAGAAAGAGTCAACATGACTCTTGTGTGTGTGTTTTAGAAGTGTCTACTGGAGGGTAATGCTTTTAAAAGACATAACTCATCACTAAAACGAAACGTTTGTTGGAATTTTTCTGGATTCATTTTTACAGACTGATTACTGTTCAGAAATATACTCTTAACCGCCTATTTCTGTCTTGAAATATTGATTTAAGGTATTTCTACATGACACTTTTTTTATTTTAAAATACTTAATGTGGCAAACTGTCCCTTAGAAAGCAAAACAGCGCTCAATGAAATGCATACATAGAGTTTAGAATGAAAATTGACACCACAGGAATCAGGGTATTAAAAATTGGAAATTCTATTGTATAGACCAAATCTACATTTACATTTCAATCTTGTGAACTCACACATTAAACTACATTGTAGGGGCAAGTACAGTGTTAAAGTTAAAATAGATTAGATTTCTGTGGTATCATTTACATAAATTGTATAGATTATATATTTTATTATAATTAGCCTTATGTTTAATAGCAATCCTATTTCTAAAATAATTTATATAATGGCTACATTTTTACAATATAAAATTGCATAATTTACAATAAAATAATTTACAAAAGAAGTTCATCATTTGCAATCTTAACCAACCAAACTTGTTCATCACAAACCAGCTTTTCTTTGGGTATGCTGAAGAGTAGGTGCACAGCAGATGTAGTCTTACTCGGTTTCCGTTTTTGCAAAGTTGCATTGCTGCATTTGACCTCAGCTGAACTCTAGCAATGCCTTTACATGCTTAATCCTGGAGGTGTCAAACTGCACCTTGATGCTTGAACTGCTCCTACTGTAGTAGCTGCGTGCTTTCCGACCCAGTAGGATTGTTTAAGAAGAGTACTGTGTTCAGTAGCTGTTTGTGTAATGCTCATCTTTAGTTTCAGTGTTACTTCAGTCCTGCCTTCCTGTTTGCCACAGCTGAACCGTGCAGCAGCAGCAAACAGAAAAGTGGCAGCATTTGCTACTGAGAAGGAGTGAGGTCATGCTGAACAAGGTGTAAATTAGTAGATTCCAAAGTCAAATACTCAGGACTGAGTAGATATTAATATAAATGCATTAATATAGTGATAAGAACCATTCAGAATGTGTTGCTTTAAAAGAAAAACACAGTGAGGTAATCATACGTGAATTGTCAAGTAATCAGTTTGAAGTCATTTCAACATTTAAATTCAGAAATAAATGCAAACAGCGATGTATTGCACCTTTTATTTAATTTGCTCAAACAAAACAAATGTTAGCATGTAAGAAACTTCTAATTAACATGAAAACAGTATGGTACAACATGAACGATAGAACAGAAAGATATGGAAACTGAAAATTGCATTACAAGGACATTCAGCTGAATCTAACCAGCACGGTCCGCTCATAATCGAGTCTCAGTGTGCTGACAACAGCATCAACATTTTGCTTGTTCAACTGATTTCCACGAGGACAACGATCAGTTTCTCAGATCCCACCAGCATACGTGGTCTTAACCATAACACAAACCACACTGTAATGCAACAGAAAAATGACACTGAGAGGAGAATGTGAATGGATGTTTGATTTTAAACCAAGATCGTAAAAGCGTCCTTTGCAACTCACTGAAGCAAAATGCAAAACAAATGAATAAAGTTATGGCAGGCCCTAAATTAATACTCTCTATATATACGCATTTAAATGTTTGACATTTCAAATGCAATTTCCGAACAAGGCACAAACCATGAAGATCACAAACAGGTTTATCCAGGAATGAATCAACCTTGATCAAAACATTTTACCTGCTTAACCTAAAGACCAATCAACAATAGTTATTTATTGTCAAAACATAGGTGGATCAGGAGATTGTGACGTTCTATAGATTACCGTTTAGCTTTGGTGATAGTGCCGATCACAAAATGACGGCTGTCTCGTCAGCAATAGAATCATTTGAACTTCTACAGGGTTTTTAAAGTGCAATCAATGCTGTAAACACTCTATACAAACTTTCCGATTCCTTGAGAGATTATTTTGAGTGATGATTTTAAAGTGAAAAGGAATTACAAAGGATTGACGAGTGAGCATAGCGGGGGGGAAATGGATAACAGAGGAAAAATCTGTTCAGAGAGAACGTCACAAATTCATGTTCTCAGTTATTCTCCTCAAAATTCGCACAGCCTATAATCACACTTCATGTTTTTTTTACAAAGATTTCGGTCTTAAAAAGCATACTTCCCAATAAAGTTCCCTAACAAAAGCGTGTTGGAAGATAAAGCCCTTGTGAAAAACAGAGCCAAGTGCCTTCCAGTGTGCAGAAAAAGGGATAAACAATAAATTGATTGGTAAAAAAAAATCAATAAAAAATCCCAAAACCATTCAAAAAGCTGTTACGTGTTGCTTGGCCCTCATTAGATATTCCAGACTTTTTTTTAGTTGGTAAATACACCATGCAAAATGAATAAGTAGCCATACATGATCTTTCACATCTTTGAATCCCAAAATAAAGTAAAATGTCAAACCCCTGAAAATTTATTATGGCTATAAAGAGGTGTCCGTTGCGAACTGCGTATGGAGAACATCATTCATCCACAGTTTGAGGGCAGAGTGGATGATTAAAGAAAAAAAGAAGAGACAGAGAGAGAAATATGCGTAACAAATGCTACACTTATTGCTTATGAACGGAAAAGAAAATTATTTTTCGTGGCAACCATTTTTCCCTTACCAATCATAAGACGACATGCACTGAAATCGAAAGAAATACGAAAAGAGCCTACGGTGAATAAAAAGTTCATAGTATTTCTGGTTAGCACTATCTACAGATACGGTCTGAGCTGACGCTGACATCAACCTCAACTTCGATTGGCTGAGAGGATTTTGGTAGAGAGCTACAATGATGTACAGTAGAAAGGCATTGTCCTTCGTGATCTTTCTGAACACTTAGCAAACACACAAGACGAAGGTATACAGATAACAGTGGCTCGTTAGAGACAGCCTGTCGAGCATTCACTTTTGAAAAGAGAATAATAATGAAAACTGTCCAAAAGAGCAAGTAAGCTACCTGATGTGGTCATGGCATACATTAGAACAGCTTGACTGAATGACTTGCAGGTATAATGTTTATTTTGTTGTCATTTTAATGTACATATTCTGGTTAAAATAGTAGGAAGACAAGCTTTAGAGTCCTGCAGCAATAGACCATACTCATTTGGTTGGCCAGATTCAAGGTTTTGCTCTATACAAGGCCAACTTAATGTTACTTCACCGCCACCACTACCACCTTTTAAATTCATAAACAAAGCCTGCCCTTTGCTAAACAATGTGCAGTAAAATGAATGTCATCTGCTTGTTTTACAATTTCACTCTTCGATGGTTAATACAGTATGTAATTCAGTAATAGTTTGTCTTTTTTCGTCATTTTCTTTCCACAGTAAGAGTCATCCATTGCATACTGACAGTCACTTCCTTAAGACTATGTCCTGACCCCCTTCAAGACGGGGCTTTTGGTGTATGGCGTCGCTTTGAGGCATCTGGTTATCCTCTCGCTGTTACGCCTCTTGTGCCCCCACGCTCAAAACTTGTGTCTGTCCCGGCATCGTACTCAACAGATCCAGATTTATCATGGTTATTGTGATCACCACTGGTTAAAACTGTAATTTTCCATTTTCATTGCTTTTGAGATAGTGTCTTAAACTGAAGCTGACCTCTGAAGTGACAGACTGTGGATAAAAAATACAGGTGCATCTCATCCTCCTATGCAGAGTTTGACTTGCCCAACTCCTCCCTGATTGCTGAAAACACAAAAAACGACAGAAGAATTAGAAACAGTCCACGTCAGATTGGTAGATTAGTTCCATTTTACACTAACAGTCAAAGGTTTAGACACATACTCGTTCATTATCACAGTTTAAAATATTTTTATATAATAGTGAAGTCATTAAAACTATGAAAGAACACAAAAAGATGATATGGGAATCATGCAGTGACCAAAAACAAATAAATCTTATATTTTAAATGATTAAGCATTAGGCACCCTTTGTATGCTGGACACTTGTCACGTGTTATTATCCATTCCAACTCATTTATTTGTAATTAAAAGTTTGCCAAGACACTTTTATTTGTATAAAATAAATCAAAATGGAAAACATGTACAGTAAAAATCAATGCATAATAAATATATTTATAATAAATAATTTATTATTATTATTATTATTATTAGCCACCCCTTTGGAAATTAGGGAGTTATTTTTCAAATATCAAGTTATTTTTATTATCAACATCATCAAGAATTTAAGCATAAGCCTTTAGATCAAAATTGTTTTTAGGATAATAAGAAACAAATTCAGTCAAATGTATCCAAACCTTTGACTGTTAGTGTCAAGTATTTTCATGTTTCTATTGTATTAAAAAGCTAAATGTGCATCATATATAGTGCCAATATAATGCAATAATATGTTACCATCAAGAAGTTCTTCTTTCAGCTTCGCTAGTTCCTTCCTCATCTCCTCTAGAATGTCCTAAAAAGCAAAGCAATACATTTGTAATTAGATTAGAATATTATTTATAATACTCCACAAATCAAAAGGAGTCAAGCAACTTATAAGAGCATGTCACTGAACTGTTTCATGTCAGTAAGATTCCATATTAGATAAGAATATATACACTAGAGAAGAGAAATTTGCTACCATGATACTGTGGCAAGAAAAAAAAAATATGCTATGAGTTCTTAATATAAGCTGTTATATTAAATGCACTTGGCCCTGACCATTTAAATGACAAGATCACCAGGTAAGTAGATGTATGTAATAACATCAACACTCAGTCACAATTACTGCTGTAACTCTTCACCACTAAAACTTTCTCTGGGCAAAGCAGACAGAGCTGAGTGACTTGAGTAACTGTGTTCTTAGATAAGTAAGACTCTTACATATGCCTTTCATATCTAACATGCTCATTCATACAGAAGGGAGGTATTGCCTTTGTAGAGGGGTCTATAATTGCACACACCCACAAAAGCATAACTGTGCACTGTCAACCAGTATTTCTCCCTCGGTTTTTTAGGAAGTGCTGTAATACCAAGCACGTTTTTCAAATGAGGAAAAATGAGTAATTGTGCCACTAGCTTTGGTAACACTTTGCCAACATATTGAGGAAGTGTACGGCCCCTCTATCAAACCCTGAAGGGCTAAAAGTTTAAATGAGTTTCAGTTCTTCTCAAATTTTGAGAAGTACCTGTTTCAATCTGTCATAGTCAAGAGCTTCTGTTGGCACCCCATTGGCACTTATGGATCCGGTAGGAGTTGGTGTAGACCTTGGTCTAAGGAGAAAAGAAATAGCGTGAAGCAAAGCTATTTTAGTCACACTGTACAGTTTAGTGACACGCTTTAACAGTCATTTCAGATGCTGTGTAAATCTACACTGTTCAATCACAATGGGTGATTCAAAGAATATACACAGCATTAACATGGGATAATTTCAAAATGTGGGAGGAAAATGCAAGGTATTTCAGATTTCAGGTACTTGAAACCCTTGTACTGCAAAGGAAATACACACATCCAGATATACATATATGCATAACTGGGTGACATGAAAATGAGCACCATGAGAATTGTATTTCCTTGAGAGGAGCTGCATATTCATCAAAACCAACACATTTGCAAAGTCAGCCCCGAATAGAAAACATTTCAAAGCACAGCAAACCAAAAAACACAGCTTGAGACACAATCCACACTTCAAAACACACAATGCAGCTGCCGTATCACTCTCATGCTTGTCTGAAGCTGATTCAGACAGGATACTATTGCCAACACAATAATCACCATAGGGTGGGACATGGGAAGTGAGGGAAATGACGCTTTATCTCTCCCACTGGGAAAGAAATGAATGCTGAAGAGTGGGTTGCCTTGTGCAGAAAGGAAGTAGAAGTCAAGCGGATGAGAACATTATGACAGCTTACAGTCAGAAACAAATTACAGAGCAAAAGTTATGTGTGAGGTACAAGCGTGTCCTGCCTGAAGTCTTTGTATCAAAGCTTTCTGCATTTAGAGTGAGAGGATAACTGCCTTGTTATTTGGCAGAATAAACTAAATTAAAGCACATTTGTAGGCGGAGGGGGAAAGTGTGTTATCTTTGGAGCCAGGTGGACGAATTGGCAAGTGTGGACAAATACTCCAGCTTTCTGATACTGCATGACATTTGACGACATCTAGTACTGCAGAATTCATCAGGACACTAATAATCATACTACGGTCAATTCTTCATAGCTTCATTCTATTTCTCAATTAAAAAAAAAATTAAAATGGATGCTTCCCCATAACTACGGACACTTTATGTGATTGGGGATGATTGTTATTAAAATAAACAGATTTCCTTCTCTCTCTCTCTTTTTTTTACATGAAGATCATATTTAAACTGTCTATGAAATGCATTACCATGCCTTAATTTAGTGCTTTTCAAATGCCTTTTATGTATATATTTTGTTTTACTCTTATCCAAGACCCAGACTTTCACTTTTTAATTATGATAATCCATCATGCATTATTACATTTTAAGAACTATGATAATCCATATGAGTGAAATGATTATAAATTATTTTCAACATTTATATTGTGTGGAAACGATTTATATAGACCACCATTCAAAAGCTGGGGTCAGCAAGATTTTTAAATGTTTTTGAAAGAAGTGTCCTGTGCTCACCAAGGCTGCATTTATTTGATAAAAAAACACAGTAAAACAGTAATATTGTGAAACATTATTAGAATTTAAATTCAGTTTTTTTTTTTAATTCAGACATAATTTAACGTAATTTATAGCTGAATTTGCACCATCCATTACTCCAGTCTTCAGTGTCACGTGAACCTTCAGATATCATTCAAACACACTGATTTGATGTTCAAGAAACATTACTCATCAGTGTTGAAAACAAATGTGCTGTTTAATATTTTTGTGGAAAATGTGATACATTTTTAAGGATTCATTGATGAATAGAAAGTTCAAAATCAGTAATATTAACATTATTAGAATTTAAATTCAGTTTTTTTTTTAAATTCAGACATAATTTAACGTAATTTATAGCTGAATTTGCACCATCCATTACTCCAGTCTTCAGTGTCATGTGAACCTTCAGATATCATTCAAACACACTGATTTGATGTTCAAGAAACATTACTCATCAGTGTTGAAAACAAATGTGCTGTTTAATATTTTTGTGGAAAATGTGATACATTTTTAAGGATTCATTGATGAATAGAAAGTTCAAAATAACAGCATTTATTTAAAAAAAAAAAGAAAAGAAAAAAAGTCTTTACTGTAAATTTATTTAAAGGCAGCCTTGCTGAATACAAGTATTAATTTCTAAAAAAACAAACAAACAAAAAAAACGTTTGAACAGTATTGTATATATTTACACAAATTACCACTGTCCCTCAGATCTGCCGCCATTTACATTTTTTCAAAAAGTCCACAGAATCAAAAGTTTTTAAAGTTGAGGAAATACCCAAATATTAAATATGCATCTTTATTATAAAAGTTGCAACAGTTTTGAAAAGCATAAAGTATTTTATTTATGCCATTTCATGGTGATTATACTGCTGGCAACAGCAGAATCTTTGTTTATGGAAAAAAAAAATACGAAAAACCGTAGACAATCATTGCACCAACCTTCATCCTATTTAGAGAGCACTCTCAGCAAACAAATTCTAGAAAGAGTTCTCAAACTAGCCTCTTATACCTGTTTAAGGAATCATAGTACTTGTCAGTACCCATCTGATTTCTCCATGGTGTGTCCCGTCTGTGAGAGCAAAGAGACTAACCAGGTCAGAGGTCAACAGCGTGGATCTGAACTATGTATATTCATAGTAATCTTCTGAATGCACTGGTTCCAACTCAGGTGAAAGGAGAAATATTTCTATTTCAGTGTAGCCCTACTGAAAAGTGCTTCAACCATTTGTATAATTATATTTGCAAATGCATGAAAGAATGTCATATACTAAAGCAAAAAGAATATGCAAATCCTTCAAAAAATGCTGAACAGCTCTGGTACACACAGATCTGATGAGAAGCAACAGCACTGTGCTTTAGTGATGTCAAGCACGGGACCCGACTGCCTGCATTCTGACATGCGATTGTGAGGGGCCCCAGGCCGCAAACGTGATGCAAAGCAGTCAAAGCATCAATAATTCAAATTAGCTTTAAGAAAAGCGGGACCGGTTGAAGACTCAGATCCCAAAAGCTGGACATTTCCTTCAAAAGGCGTTATAAATTGGTGGAGGTATAATTCACACATTGATTCAACTCATCAAAACAATAACAAGCAAATTATTACCTTCCAATGACTGGTGATTTGCTACCATTCATGGTGTTTGTCCTCTCCCAAGGCTTTCTGGGCATATCTGTGAAAAAAGTGCAATGAATGTTACATTTTATGATACTTGCAGTCTCTTATTTCACATAAAAGATATGGTTATGCATCAAGGCCCAGACTGTACACTGGACAACAAAATTGTGACCCATTGCAAGTAAAAAAACAAACAAACAAACAAACATGGAATTGATTTAATAAAAATAAAGATTACATGCACTCTACAGGCTCAACAACATGCTAAATTATTAAAATGACATTCATTGAACAGGAAAAGAGGAGTTGCCAAATGTTGCATTAGTATTAGCCTCATAACCAGTGACAGATGAATCTGCATCAAAATACCAGACTTTTACTGAACAACAAAAAAAGGTATGGGAAATGTTTTCACCTCCCTTTTAAATGTTACCTCATTCATTTGACTAACCCAATGATTCTCATGGAGCATTATTATAAGGTTAGCTGCATTTTATCATTTGTTTTTAGCATAGTTTTCCCCCGCTTACCTGGTGTGCTACAGGCTGACACTTTTGGAGTTATGGTAGCCTCAATGTCATCCTGATAGAAAAATAAAAAGATAATCAATTTGAAAATCAATCACATAAAGGGTTTGATCATATAAATAAAACGAAGTAGTCTATATGTACAGATTTAGTCATAGACTGTATACAGCTGAATGAAACATTATTAACTCACAGCTTTCTGCTCAGGCTCTGGCGATGATCCCTTCTCAGCAATTCTTCTCCTGTATCAAATCAATGGTAGAATTTTAAATTTCATTACATTACTGGATATTACAGACCTGCCAACCTTGGAACAATTTTTTGAGTACCATCAGTGTGACGGGACGGGACACGGGGTTTGGGGGGATTCATAAATTCCTAGATAGCTACATTATTACCTGAAGCTTAGTCCTTGATGACTAATGTCAAAATCATTATTGCACAATGTGCAAAATGCAAGATTTAATGTTAAATATTTTCCAAAGTTTAGCAGGTCTGCATAGTATGCAACAATACAGTTAGCCCACGGATCAATCCATATGCCTCTGTTTTTAGTTCAGTTCAGTTCTGATGGCTTGGCACATCAGAGTATTTTATTGCGATTTGTAATTTAAAATGCTATTTAGAAAAAAAAAAGAGAAAAAAAAAACTCCAGTACACTTTGATTAAAACTCCAGTACACTTCTGTACACTGAAGAAAAACAAGGATTATCATATCTACAAATTTCTTTTGAGAGAAGTATTATTTTTATGGATTGGCCTATAAACGCATGTAATGTCTGTTTCATTCATGCTGGTAGCCATAGGGGCCCTCGTGCTGAAAATCCACATATGCATCACAGAAGTAATAGAGCTCGTGATGTTCCATCAAATCCCTAATATGGACAAAGACATCCAGCTATCGCTGTAGAGGAGTAAAAAGAAGATAGAAAAGTTTTGAATGATAAAACAAAGACAATAAACACGACTACGACAATGTATAGTTTATCTGAGTTCTTTAAACCATCTCGGGTATTTTCATTTGCTAATTGACATAGCCTTTTGTACAGTATAGAATATGTTTTCTGCCTCATTCTGTGATAAGAAGCCAGATGACAAAAGGAAGTTATTTCAAACACTCGACTGATGCTGTGGAGTAAAAACATGTTATAATGTTCTCTTTTGTTGGACAGCAGGTTTAGAAACGCTTCTCATTATAAGTTATTAGTCATTAAGGCGTATGTTGCTTTTTCGAATGCTTGTTATAAGCGGGGAGGCGTTTTCTCATCTCAGCGTGTAAACTCACGGACAACTACACACAAACAGGGCCAGTTTGGAGAGAAATAAAAAACGGCGGGAGTGGAAGGGGGATCGAGCCGGATTTTGTGTTGCTGTCGATTTGCTGTCTCTTTTTAATGATAGCCCTTACGCATTTGTCAATCTTCCCTGCTTTCTATTTGGGGAATGAACCCAGCACTCTGATTGGCCAAACTCTTCTTCTTTTGCTGTTGCTTGATTTGAGTACTGCTCGTGCACAGAGGCGTAATCAGGTTTTTGCATAGTTTAGAGTAACAAATCATACCAGCGTACTTTGAGGTCAAAATGCGTACTGGTTGGCAGGTCTGATATTATACAACATTCTGATAATTAATCCTAAAAACAGAACTTTTTATTAGTACGTTCTGAGACTAATAATTGTTTGAAAACTAGGTTCTGTTTCTATCACTGCAATCATTCTGGCATTAGAGACAGATAAAGCACATAGTTCACCTCCTGGCCAGCAGGGCGCTCATCTCCTCCATCAGACCTCCTCCTCCAGGTAAAAGACCATTTCCACGGGATGCCTCAGGCTTGGCACCACCAGAACTCACCGCAGATCCTGCCAGGGGCTCATCACTCTACAGTAACACATAGGATTTGGTATTGAACATGTTTAGCATTTTTGATGATGTTTAGAAAAAAGAAAACGTGTTGTTTTCAGCTTTAGGGTGCAGTGCAGGGTCAGAAATTAACTTTTCTGTTAAGGAACTATATTTGTCCTCTGGAATTTATTTACAGGGACAATTTTTTTTCCTTCTGAGGGCAATTTTTATAATTACCCTATAAAATGTAAAATACTTAAATTTAACCAATCACCTCAAGCAATCAGAATACTAGGTTGTTACCAAAGCAATGTGATGCAACATGAGCAGATCTAAATTTAATGCTGTTACTTAATTTTAACATTTCACTGTAATTGTGACAGCCGTAATAGATTTAGTTTAATTGTGCATGGCCATTTTTTGCCCCTTATCTTGAGTTTGGGGTGGCATTTTTGTTAATTTCGGTGGCATTTTTGCTCCAAGCCCATGTTAATTTCTGACCCTGTGAATTGTGCTAACATGCTTCAGGTGAAATTGAATGCAAATGGGAGCTTTAGAGTCCTTGAACCCTTACCCTTGGCACTTTCTTTAGCTTGGCTCCAGCAAGGGCGGATGCGAGCCCAGACAGACCCTTGTTCTCCTCTGTGGTGGGCGAGGGGGTGAATAGACCCGAGGGCAAAGGTGGGGCCGGGGGTGGAGGTGGTGCTGGTGCTGGTGGAGGAGCCTGGCCTGAGGTTGGAGGCAGGGAGGGGTGGTGGGGGTGGAGGGGTTGGTATCCCCTGTACTGAATCTGCAGTGATAAATAGACAAAAGAACAAGACCATTATAACATGTCTTTATAACTTGCTGTACTGATCAGTTAAAACTGTGATATGTTCTACATCCAGGACTGTTTTAGTTTGTGAAATAGATCATCAAAATCAGAATGAGGATGTTATAATATAATATAATATAATATAATATAATATAATAATACATTAACGTTCAAAAGTTCGGGGTCAGTAAGATACTGAATAGAAACGTCAAAAGAACAGCATTTATTTGAAATAGAAATCTTCTGTAACATTACAAATTTCTTTACTGTCACCTTTGTCCATGCATCCTTGCTAAACAAAAATACTAATTTCTTTAAAAATACAATCTTACTGACCCCAAATTTTTTAACAGTAGTGTAATATAAACCCATCAATAATAATTAAAATAAAATGAAAAAAAAATAAATAAATAAATAACAACAACAACAACAACAAAGCTTATTCGTAATAGTGAACGTAAATAGAAGACGTATGACATTAATACATGATGCGAACATACTGAACACTTGTCAATAGCTGATGATCATTAAACCAACTTCCACAAGGAAGAAACTGATGATTTATCTCAATATGAAACAAATCTGTACATCAATTTAACAAAATGCACAGATATAATTGGGGTAATGTTTCATACTATTTAATCATTAAAATGTAACTTAAAGCTGATATTGCATCACTTTGTATAATGAGGTAAAAATCTTCACAATTCAGGAACGAATCCGCTTAACTATTTTTCACATTTGGCTGTTTTGGCTATAAACAGCTGAAGTTTTCAAGTCTATATGACATGCATGCCTGTCAAACACACTCAAGTTAAGCATATTTGTGTGTAGAATTTAGCTCAGCGTCAAGCTGCATCATGCATATGAAGTGTGAAGTCTAAAACCTCTTCTATAAATAATTCAGAGGAAGAGTTGATCTTATTTCTTCATTGCTGTTGACCTGACCTCACATGAAACGCTCCACTTACTGTATGCAGTATGGAACAAAACAAACAGTCAAGGATAAAAGCGTAATCAATTTAATTTTCATTAATTTCATTTCTTTTTAAAATAAGGAAGTTTCATGAAACAAATGTGTGAATGTGAAGAATAACCAAAGAGGATGTGGGGCAGCCAGTTATAGATCATGTAAAGCTTACTGTGCAATGACAGTTCACTTGTACATGTTAACATCTAGAACTTCTTTACTATAAGCCAATAATCAGAATGAGATGGTTGTGATAAACTGCAGAAAAACACTGATGAGAACTAAAGCAATGATATCGTAGCTTTGCAGTCTGTGAGACTCAAATCAAAGTTTCACGAGAGAGAGTGGAGATGTGTTTTCATGCCATGCCATTTTACACAATTACGGGCCACACAAATGAGCATCCATCAAACCAATGAAACCAAAAGACAAGACAAACAGCCAAACATTTCCTGAGGACTTTCATATTGAGCCAAAAAGCAATCGCCAATTGCAGCCAAAAAAGCAGCCCAGCTCAACATGGCAGGCCCCCTCCTCGAACCCCGATTAGCGGGTTAGTGGAGGCTGAGCGACACAGAAGAGGCCTTACCCGGCTGGCTGGGGAAGTCAGCAGGCTGAGTGGGCAGCTCTGGAGCAGAAGAGCAGGAGTCTCCCAACCCAGAGTTTACAGAGTGCTCAGCAGAGGCAGGGAAGGCTGTGGAAGGAGAAGGGAGAACAGCAGGCTGGGGTGAGGGACAAGACACAAGAGGAGTGATGGGCAAGGTGGGTGAGGGGGAATACAGTGGCGGCGGAGGGGGTGGCATTGGGGGCGAAGAAAACGGCTGACTCGACACAGGTGATGAGGCATGGAAGTGAAGCGAGGTGGGCGGCCCGTTGGGTGCCGAGATGGGCGAGGGGGGTTTCTGGGAGGAAGGAGACAGAAGAGAGAAAGGGGGCAAATGAAGCAAGAAAACCAGCAGAGACCTACAAGACCATCATATGTACTTATTTCTGTCTATGAACAGGGAACACACTGGAATTAGTACAATCGGTTAGCGGTTGACAACATCATGAACTGGAAAAGATGATCATGATCAACACCAATGCATGTGGGAAAAATGTTACACAAACATCTAGTTTAGCATGTAGTACTTTCAGGAGAGAGCACTGAAGGGTTACTGTAAATCCTGGATGCATGTGTCACATGAGGTTAGTGTCTTAGCTTCGCACCTGCTAAAGGCTAGTCATCCACTCTCTGCATGCCAAGAATATGCTAATAAAAACCTGCACTTTTTGTGCTTTCTATAGCCAAATATTACATTAAAATCTGAATGATATATCAAATTTAACCCAGTAATCACACATTTCCGCTGAAACAACATCATTGGTGAGTCATGAGCTGTGTAAAAACCTATATTATGCACAAAAGCATGTGCAACCCCCCCCCCAAAAAAAATTATCACCATTCAAAAGTTTGTGGTCGGTAAGATTTTTTTGTTGTTGTTGTTTCTGAAAGAAGTCTCTTATGCTGCATTTATTTGATCAAAAATACAGTAAAAAATTATATTTAGAAATATTATTACATTTTTAAATAATTTTCTATTTTAATATATTTTAAAATGTAATATTTTACCCTTAAAATGTCAAGCTTTTTAAACTACTTCAAACATTCAAGCTAGGCTTTCTTAAGCCAACATAAATTTGTCTATAAACTTTAGTAAAAGTAATTTATATCTGTGATGTCAAAGCTAAATTTTCAGCAGTCATTGCTCCAGTCTTAAGTGTCACATGATCCTTTAAAAATCATTCTAATATGATTGATTTGGTGCTCAAGAAACATTTCTTATTATTATATATGTTGAAAACTGCATACTATTTTTCTGAAAACCTTTTTTTATTAATTCTCTGATGAATAGAAGTTCAAAAGAACAGCATTTATTTGAAATTAGGGTTGCAAAGGGGTGGAACATTTCGGAAATGTTTCCTGTAATTTATCGGAAATTTTCCGCTTCTTTGCAATCCTATTTGAAATATTATTTTTTTGTGAAATTATAAATGTCTTTACTGTCACAGATGTTACTGAAGGCCAGGCTTAGAGTGCAACACAATTTTATACAGTATATATGTAACGGGAGCCCTGTCTCTCTATTTACTAGGGCAAGGCAACATATTTAGGGCTGTTTATTTATTAAGTGCAAGTAAATTCTTGTTTTGGTTTATGGTGAGATTGCACTGTAAGAGTCACTGCCTGCCATATGTTGGCCAAATCTTTCTGCTCTAGTGATTCTCATAAGCAGCCTGCAGACACAGCTGCCCTCCTGCTGCGTGAAGCCCACCACGCCCCCCTGAGCACTCTTCAAAATACACGTCAACACACAGGCAAACACAAATTATCATGCCCTACATTCAGGTCATCTCCTTATTAACACTTTCCCATTATTCACGCTGGCTTCATGACTTAAGTACAGCTGATTTCTCTTTATCCTTCATTTTAAATTATAATGTAACCTATCCGTACCTTGCTTTTTTCCATTTCACTTGCCTCCTCTGCCTTTCCACACTATTAGCTTCGACAAGCAGACCACATGACCCATGATGTAGCGCAGTATGTTCACCAAGACTTAATGAAATTCTTCCACTCCTAAAGCACAGGCGGTCACATGGCAAGACCTATCGGCTGTGCTCCAGAGAGACTAATCCAACTTTATTAAATCAACTAGGGATCCTCACATACTGTTTTTGATACTAATGAGTTTATTAATTTAGCATGAACATAACTGTATATACTACTCTGATGTGAAAAAGTGAACGGTTAGAAAATAGTTTTGGCTATAATTGCCCATTTACACCAATACCAAGTACTTGTAATCACTTATCCCTAACTAGTGCTCCAACTAATGATATAGATTTTGTTGCACCCATTCAGCAAAATTTCAGGGTATTTATTGGATAATTCTTACCAAAAAGCAGAATTCTCCAAGATATGACTCAGAAAAGTCACTGAGCCAAGACAAGATCCACTAAAAATACAACTGCCATACAGAAAGACTTCATTACAGACAGAGAATTCAATCCGGTGTCAATTCAACACTCAAAATAAAACATTAAAAGCACCAGCCAGTCAATACTGCAGTGAATAACATAACAACTGCAGACAAGCTGTTCAATGATTTGTCTAGAAAGAAAGCACTTTAAAAAAAACGACACGGAAGCATTTATGTCAGAAATTTGTGATCAGGAAACATTATTCTTGCCTTCCTTGAGAGCATTTGGAAGTATGTAAAAAGAATATCACTGTTCTAATCTAATACAAGGCAGAAAGACAGTCACAATTTACAATTCACTGCCAGTGAATAAAGCTTCAGTTTTCTGTAAAATGACGTCTCCTTCACAAATCTGATTGCCAGTGTGTTAATGTGTAACAGGACCGGTTGTGTTAGTAGTAATCTAGATTCAACACATCCCTGAGCAATTGACACTGTATTTAAAGGATTTCTGACATCCCTGCTATGGAATAATGCATCTTGCTATATGCAAACTATTGCATCACCTCAAAATAACGCAGATTATTTGATACAATGATTACACATGCACTATGCTAAACTGCTCAAATGTTTAACATTTGAAATGACAATTCCGCCTATCAAAGCCTGAGGCCAGACTTCTCACACATTATCTGTGGAATAAACATCCCCTCCTCCACATTGAGAAGAAAAATGGCTATTTTTTTCACATGCTTCTGAGAAATGTATGCAATCTGATGTGATGAACTCAACTATATATATATATATAATTTGTGTTGACGATTGCTAAAGATCCATAGCCTCTCTCTACTGTCACCTAAATTCTCGAGTTCTGGCAGGTTAACCCATAATCCTAGTGGGCTGTACACAGGACAGCATGAGGGAAATGTGGTTAGTGTGTGCAGCTCTCCTTGAGTTTCGTCATCTTTCAAGCTGTTGATTCAGACTCTTCCAACATACTGACAGATGGACACGTCAGGAGAAGATCGCCTATTGATATATTAAGACACAATGAGTGCTGACCCTTCCTTCATATAAACAATAGCCTTACGTAGAACTAGAGGCCAAATACATACTAAAAATGTGTTTTACAGCAAGAACAACAAAAGGAAACATCCAAACCAGAGATGCACAACATCGGATATCAGTGGAATTTATTCATTTCATTTTTATCTGTGATGTCTAGTATTGGATATTAACTTTTGGTCACTTGTTTCCGCCAATTTTTAGATGTTAAATAATGCTTAAATCTTAGAGGGACAAGTGTAGATTACAAAAGATTTAACCCTTCAAGAGTTGTTTCTTAAACATTGCTATCTTATAATAAATAACTTACTTTTTTATTCAAACAAACTTTTTCTTTATCAGATCCCCAAATTAATATTTATACATATTTCATATTGTATATTATATTGTTGTTGTTTATTCACGCAAGTATCACAACACTTATTTAACATTGACAAGAACAGCACTGATTTTTTAATTTTTTTTGTGAATGTGAAAGTTATTTTAAATACATACATTAAATATGTACAAAATAGTACAGATTTTTAAACTGTTGTTTATTAGTTATTAGCCATGGCACGGAAATCAGCCAGAATTGTAATATCAGTGCATCCCCAGTCCGAACGCATTGTTAACTTTAAGGAAAAAAATAGTTTTAAATGAAATTTCAAGGGTATAATAACTGCAACACTGTAAGATGATTTCTAATTGATACTAATAGCATTTCACAGGCATTTGCATGCTAAGCATAGTGTACAACAGAAGAAAAGCCACTTGTATTGTTAGTTTGTGTTAAAACCTCACTCATTTTTTGACTCCAGCCCGTCTTGTCTACATCTTATCAGTCAGTCCTATCTATCAAAAGACGTTGGAGAAAATAAAGATGCTCACCGGCGTTGGAGATGCGTCTCCCTCTCTCCCAGTCCATCTGCTCTCTGTCCAGCTGCTCTTGGTGCTCCCTTTCTTGCTTCTCTCTCTCGGCACGCTCTCTCTCCATCAGCTCCCGCTCGACGCGCTCCCGTTCCTGGCGTTCTCGCTCCAGCTGCTCCTGCTCTTGATGCTCACGCTCCAGGCGTTCCTGCTCGTTACGTTCCTTCTCCAGCCGCTCTCGCTCCTGACGCTCCCGTTCCTGACGTTCCCTTTCGGCACGTTCCCGTTCCAGCATCTCTCGTTCCTGCCGTTCCCGTTCTAGCCGCTCGCGCTCCAGTCGTTCCCTCTCTTGCTCCTTCTGACGCTGGAGCTCCTGCAGCTGCCTGAGGACACATGAGAGTAGAAGGGAATGCGTGAGTGCACAGTGAACCTACAACTTTTCAATTACCAGGTAAGAGCTTTAACAAGTTTGCCACACCACCCCAGGATCAGGAAAAGCCACTTGTATTGTTAGTTTGTGTTAAAACCTCACTCATTTTTTGACTCCAGCCCGTCTTGTCTACATCTTATCAGTCAGTCCTATCTATCAAAAGACGTTGGAGAAAATAAAGATGCTCACCGGCGTTGGAGATGCGTCTCCCTCTCTCCCAGTCCATCTGCTCTCTGTCCAGCTGCTCTTGGTGCTCCCTTTCTTGCTTCTCTCTCTCGGCATGCTCTCTCTCCATCAGCTCCCGCTCGGCGCGCTCCCGTTCCTGGCGTTCTCGCTCCAGCTGCTCCTGCTCTTGATGCTCACGCTCCAGGCGGCACATATTGTCAAAATACGAAAATGTTCGAGTTCACATACAGACACTAAAAGAATTTCAAATGGAGTGATTGTGTTGTGCTACTATGGGCAGTTACCACCCATGGTGCAACGAGGGAAGACTGCTAAAATGAAAGGTAGCTATTAAGAAGAAGCTCTCTAAATGCACCATGACATACCCTGTCTATGACTAAGGTCTCTTTAACCGTTCAAGTACCATCTTGTCAGAGAGAGGGCGTAACAACAAGACCTCAGTTATCATTCTTGTCAGTAGGGGCCCTCTTTTTCTTATCCCTTGACAGGTAAAGTTGTAAATAATGGCTTATTATTGAGGGTTCAAACACCCGGAGCAGTTTTTCTGATTTATTTATATGTTGACATGTTGTCTTGTCAATTTTGACTAATAAAGATGCTCACCGGCGTTGGAGATGCGTCTCCCTCTCTCCCAGTCCATCTGCTCTCTGTCCAGCTGCTCTTGGTGCTCCCTTTCTTGCTTCTCTCTCTCGGCACGCTCTCTCTCCATCAGCTCCCGCTCGACGCGCTCCCGTTCCTGGCGTTCTCGCTCCAGCTGCTCCTGCTCTTGATGCTCACGCTCCAGGCGTTCCTGCTCGTTACGTTCCTTCTCCAGCCGCTCTCGCTCCTGACGCTCCCGTTCCTGACGTTCCCTTTCGGCACGTTCCCGTTCCAGCATCTCTCGTTCCTGCCGTTCCCGTTCTAGCCGCTCGCGCTCCAGTCGTTCCCTCTCTTGCTCCTTCTGACGCTGGAGCTCCTGCAGCTGCCTGAGGACACATGAGAGTAGAAGGGAATGCGTGAGTGCACAGTGAACCTACAACTTTTCAATTACCAGGTAAGAGCTTTAACAAGTTTGCCACACCACCCCAGGATCAGATTCTGATTTGGTTTCAGTAGTTTTGGTACAATGTACAATACAATTTAAAAGTCTGGATCAATAATAATAATAATTATTATTATTATTTTAACATTTAACACAACATTTAGCATCAAATCAGCATATTAGACTGATTTCTGAAGGATCATGTGACACTGAAGACTGGAGTAATGGCTGCTGACAATTCAGCTTGGTCACCACAGGAATAAATTACATTTTAAAATATATTAAAAACAGTTAGTTTAAATTGTAAGAATTTCACAATAGTGCTGTTTTTACTGTATTTTTGATCAAATTAATGCAGTCTTGGTGAGCATAAGAGACTTATTTCAAAAACATTTTAAAAATCTTACAGTCCCCAAACTTTTCAGTCTCTGCCCATTAAAATATACAGGCTGTTGGGGGAATTAACAAGATGGCCTTAAAGGGCCTTTGGGACATATTCAACAAGAAAGGCTTTTATAGATGACAAATAAAAATGACTTGCTTTCTTCCAGATACTGAGACAGATGAACACTGAAATACAAGCGGTACAGTACATCATATCATACACTAGAGGGCAGCACACTCAAATGGGTAACAAGAGGTGTGAGAAGTGCCAACTTCAGCATCCAGACCAGCTCGCCTGCAGATGTTCTGCTAAGTAAGGGTTTATGAAAGATTTGCTTGTCAGTCCTCTTGTGCTTAATCAGCATCCAGCACATCCTCATGCCCAGAATTCCAGTGTGTAGAGAGCCAGAGACATTTAGACTGTGGACAGCGGGGACAGTAAATGAAGAAAAATGGGCTGTTTGCAGTTCTGGCGCTGAAGCAGGACAGATGGACCTAACTCGAAGACGAGGGGCTGGACAAAGTGGAGAGCATTCATGAATGAAAGCAAATGTAATGCAAAGTGCCTAACAATTGAAGAGTCATCATGTAAGGTTAATCTTCCAGGCTGTCCTTAACATGTTGTCTTTTTACAACATTTTACTTCAAATAAACGTTTACCAAAAAAGAATTCTCACAATCATGTTGTTTCCGACATGCTATAATAACAAATAAAAATTGATAATAAAATAAACAAATACATAGATCAATTTTAATATTAAACTGAGATATAGATTCTATATTAGCCTACATTTTATTTATCGGGTTAGTAAGAAATAGTACAAAATACAAAGGGTTCCTAATCAAAATTATTTTGGGGTAACTTCATTAACAACAGTATAGGGCCATTTCTAATGGCAAGAGGAAAAGCTGTGGAAACGTGAGTAAATGATGAGACAATTTTCATTTTAGGAGGCAAACTATTCCTTTAGTTTGTGAAATCAGACAGCTGTCATGGGAAACTGGAGAGATGATAAACCACACATCAGAGTCTTGTCATCAAGGTTTGCATTAGAACAGGTGATCCTGCTCTTTCCATCTGGCTAATAACCTCCCACACGTCTTTTTGCATGAGTGGGCATACATGATGTCATTTCCTGGGACCTTGCCAGACACACCTTCCACTCAGCATGAGTGTCATCACCATGACAAATACCAGCATAGGTGCAGTGACATCATGCCTCCACATGTTTCCAAAGAAGAGAACAAGATGGGAAAACCACACCTCAATCTAAGACCCCTTTAGAAGATCAAGTTTATGCCTAAGGCTCCAACGGATGCAGTCACACCTGAATCGATAGTCACTCCTGCTGTCTCATCAGTTCCGTCACTGAAATTGACTTCAAATCTCAGACCAAAGCTACAAAGCATGTGCAACACAGTATCTCAACTACTGGGCCATTCACATTTATAAACCCATCCACAACAAATACAAAATAAGATCAGTATCAAATATTCTACTTTTCAGTTAATATAATTCTGTATTTGAATATGTACATTTGATTAAATGCTGAACAATAATAGCCTCATCAACAAGCCTTGCCTTAAAAACATTACAAACCACTCCTACTCTAGCAACTGTTGTCATCTGCCTTATTATCAGACTCTTTTCTACTGAAGTTTACAGAATGTATCCAAAAATATAGTAAAACACTGTCTAAGCACATAAAACAGTGACACAATGTGCTTTACTCTATTTTCTTTAATTAAATGTTGAGAAGTGCATCCTGTGGGTTAAACAATCTGTCAGTATTCATTTTCAAATTAATACATGTAACATCAGAAAGAACACAGACTTTTGCTCCAAGGTAAATTCATATAAATGTAACGACTTATGATTTAGGTCATAGTAGATGTTCTGTTCATTTACACTTATGTTGTCACTTGAAATCTTTTTCAAATGAGGCTCTCTCTTCAGTTGACTGATGAACATCGATTCTGATGGTGTGTTCAAGTCATGTCGGGAGTATCGTATTTATGAATTCAAGGCATATGAATGCAACTACATAGTTGTAATTTTGAGTGGGAAACTGAACTTATAGAGTTTCCGAGTTGGGGGCATGTTAGTAAGAAAATATGGCGGACACAGCAGATGCAGCATTTATATTGCTGGCAAATTCATTAAAAAAAAAGTTTTTTCCATTTAATATGAAACTAAGTAAGGTGTGGCTTAACAAGGGTCGATTCTTGAACATCTGAAACGGATACAACAAATGCAGCTGGGTTGAGTCGAGGGGAATAAAACTATATGAAAATCTTCCAAAAGGAGCTTTCATATGCTTGGTCTACTGCCCGAGTTCTCTATATCTGCTTAATTTAGTTGCCTTGTTTCAGAGTTGTTCTTGTACCTGGGTTCCCAGAGGATGTATTCTGAGCCACTCCATTATGAAATGCTGTTGAGGCATGGATTGCTGAGAGCGTGTCCCACTTCCCCCAAAATCCCTGCTGAGCCTGAGCCAAGCTCTCAGAGATGTAATTAAAGAGCAGAGGAAGCCTTGTTTATATCTGTGATAATATACTACCCCAAAAGACCATAGCAGCCATACCGGAGCCATCCATAAGTCATCCCTGGATAGGGTTTTAGTACAAGCACCCTATAGAGATGAGCGCTTAAAATAAATAGGGTCAAATGGATATGTGATATGAGAGGCCTATATTTAATTTCCATGACACATATGGGTTGGGGCGAGGTTCACTTTTCATGATGCAATTGCCGTGCAATCCCAGTGATCCTACAGGGGTGGAGAGGTCATAATAATATCAAGGGCTTCTTGTTTTCAGAAGCTGCTGAAAATAAACCTAGAACAAACATCACTTTAAACCAAACTGGCATTTGACCAACAGGAAAAAGGATTTATGGGATCAAATGTGTGCGCTCCTTGTTTCTTAAATAAGAACAACACCCCAGACCTGTTCGCAAGTGCAGTTCGCACCATTTTGGTTGAGAGCTTTATTTGTGCGTAATCCTATCGGACACATACACATTCCCTGGCATAGGAGATCACAACATTCTGAAATAACGAGCAGCACAAACACTTAAAATTAGAAGCGGGCCCTGCTCTCTCTCAGGCGAGAGACTGGAAGGGGCCAAAATATGGGGTTGAGGGGTTCAGCAACCTGGGCTGCTACACTAAGAGCTTACTTTAGTAGGCCTTTTTTCATTTTCATATGTATCGCCTCTTTCTGACCATGTCAGGTAATAAGCAAGCACTCTAGTTCTTCAACATTCCAATGCATTTATGTAATAACCCCTTTCAACAAAACTCGTGGTCACTTAAAGGTACGGTTTTGTTCCACTGCAATGACAGTGAAGCATGACAGGAATTGTTCTCATATTTTGGAACACATTTTGGATACTTGTCAAAGGGTCATCCAAAAACAATATCAGTTTGGAATCTGCATTAGCAATTGTACTGCAGTCTAGAGCATTCTGAATATAGGAAAAACTACAAGCAATGCAAAATTTGCTTACTTTTCCCCTCTCAAACACCCCCTTCTTGAGCATGGAATAAGGGCTTAAAAGATGGGAAACATGCAGCAGATCCATTTATTGGCGTCTCCGTTCCTGACATCAGTTACCAAGGAAACAATAGCGAAGGGAGTGTAGGCGGTTCACAGCCTGATTCAGAATGTCTTCCAACAACTTACTACAACAGATTCTAAAAGCAGTATGACTTCATTGGAGTTTTAAAACATTGGTGATCATACAATAAAAAACACAGGAAAATAATATACAAAAAAAAATATTTTTTTTTTCTCAAAACAAAACAAAAAATTATTTATTGCATAGAAAAATATAATTACATGGGGACTTGTCAAGTCGTCACATTACCCTACTATAAAATTATTATTATTATTACCCTATTAGGAATCCTATTCGTGGAGTATTTTGTCACCTATTTTGAGTATAAAGTAAAAACATGTATATTTATTATACACTTACAATCTACGAAAACACTTTTAACACGAAAAAACTTATTTTTAGGATTAAAAAAAATATTTTACTGGTCAAACAAAGTCAAACAACACTAATTAAAACTCATTTACTTCTAACTCATTAAGTAGTAATGTATGTGAAGTTATGCATATCATTTACAACTTGAAGACACCAAAATGCTGAAGGAAGATTAGTGGTATAGAAGAAAATCATGAGTAGTCAAATATATCACTACAAATCAGGGCAAATTACTGCAATGCTTGAAAAACGGAAAATATAATTATATGCAGAAAAAAGCCAACACTGACTAAAAAATGACAGACCATCGTGAAAAAGTGAGCAGAATGAGCACCATATTGAAGTCTTTTTGGCACATGCAATTCCCCTCTCTCTTGGAAAGGCCCGGCAATTTGGTTAACATTGGCTGTGTCCAAGCTAAGCCATATGGTGTCTTTTGTAAGGCTTCCTACAAAATTTCAACAGATTTGGGCCCAGCTCACTGATTCCCCCTTACACAGAAGGAAGAACATCTTTGAAAAGAGAGGGCGGAAAGAGCTCAGAAAGCAGGATGTGGGCTTTCTGTAGCTGAAGGGTCATTCGTGAAAAGATGACAGACATCCGGACGTGGCTGCCAATGCGATATGGGTGCATTATTGTGCTGAAGTGTGAAGAAGTGGCTATGATTATGACAATCAGCTTTAAATGATGCCGTAAGTCTGCTAATGAGGTGGTGGCTCTTTTCTCGCCCTGCTAGCGGGGTACGGTTGGGGAAATGTTCTTTTGTGTCTCCACCTGACAGATGTGCTGAAAGCCGGCAGAGCAGCAAACTTGCATCAGCGTCCCACTGACTATTTTTATCCTCCCATTATACCACTTCATGTCTTTTTAATCAAATACTAATACAGTATATTTTTGGCTCACAGAGTCGACCCATATGCCACTGCGGTCCTGCTGGAGTTGGAACGGCCTATAGAAAAAAATGAAAGCTAAAAAGTACAATCTATACTTTTAAACAAGTAATCCCCTGGAAACCGCAATCCTTGATGTCCTGGTGATGGGAGACATAGCCAAATATTTATTTTCCCAGCATGAAAGTAATACAAATGTAGCATGTCTTGGCAGGGAATGGCATGCAATTCAGACCTAAAGGGGTATAAATGCCCCACAAGATCATTTTTGAGGTCGTTCGAGAACTTTTTGTCATCATTTCATCGTGAGGTTTACAGAAATGCTCAAGTCTCTAATTCAAAGCATGTGTGTACTAAAACTCTCCACAAAATTAAAAGACAAAAAGAATAGAATCCCAAAACAATCTAAGCCTCAAACATAGTGGTTCTTTTGCATAAACAAACAAAAATGGACACCGACTCATACTAAAAGAATGTAGATGTGAAAACACAGAGAACAGAGTGACAAATCCTATTGAAGTCTCAGTTCAAAAACTGCACTTTTCAGTCATTGCATCAATATAATTGTTACTAAGAGTATTAGGATATTATGCAACACCAATTTCCTCAAAATCATGTGTCATTTTAAAGTGGTCTGCACTAGTCAAACCTATATGCTATTAAGGCCCTGTCCACACAAACACGGTTATTTTTAAAACCGCAGCATTTTCTACGCGGTTTGGCAATTCATCCACATGCAAACGCAGCACCAGGTCACTGAAACCGAACATTTAAAAAAAAAATGCCTGCCAGGGTGAAGATTTTCAAAAACTCTTTTTTACTCACAAGTTTTTAGCTTGTGACATCGGAGCCTGCGCTGTTATCTCCGCCTACTGGAAACTTTTTCAGGCTTCTGATTGGCCAACATGGCTTTACGGTTGAGATTATATCGCACCTGTTGGTTTGGCATGCTCTTGACAGTGCTTCACAGCATGCGTTTGCGTTTTCATGTGGAAGGAGATTTTTTTTAAAACGGAAGAAGGAAAAACTGTCCCGTGTACGTGTGGACATGGCCTAAGATAGAGAACTTTGTGTTCAAAATAAAAGTCATGTTGTGCATAAAAGTTTTTTAAAGAATGAAGAAAAATAAAGAAAAATGTCTTTTCAAAGTAACTTTTCAGATAAAATCAGTTGGCGCACTTTGAAAATAACTAAAATTCCTCTTAGCACCTTCCATGCAAGCATGTGACCTTTATTTTTAAGTGACCTCTGAAACCCTTTGACAAATCTTATTCATGCCACCAGAGTCCTGTGGCCTGTCTGACAGCACGACTAATTCATCTTCTGACAGTATGCAGATGCCCTGATGGCTGTTTATATACTGACTCACTGTGAGAAACCTGCCCCTCTTTCCTTTCTTCTGCTCTCCTTCTCAGCAGCATTGTATCAGGTTTGCATCACGAGATGACATCAGATACCAAGCATGCATTCAGCTCCATTGACTGCAATAGCTAAATATGGCTGTGGGTCGGCACGCCGCGACCGGCCGGGTGGGCGGCAGCAGGCCAACTCTATTACACGCACTCAAAGACATTCTTTCAGAGAATATGAGCCCTTTTCTTTCTGGCTGATCTTCCACAGACAGGGGAAAATATCCTTATAAGGAACATTTCCACTATATGTCCACTACAACACCTGACTGATGAACACAAGATGTTAGAATGTATGAATGACTGTTTCAACTTCCTAAAAGGGATAGTTCACCCCAAAATAATTACTACTAACCCTCATGTTTCTTTTGAGTGAATTAAAAACAATATGCAACCAGTGGTTCCTAATTCTGATTCCTAAATTTAATGACTTTTATGAGTTGGTTCTTTAATGATTAGTTCAAAAAGACACTTTATTTTACAGTCCTGTTCTGCATGTACATACTATATACTTGTTATAGTAATTACAATAACTGGGTAATAACTAGGGCTGGGCAAAAAAAAAGATTTTTCGATATATCGTTTTTTTAAATGTGGTCGATTCAATATCGATTCTCAAAGGCCACGAATCGATTTTTTTCAATATTTATTTCCGCAAACATTGAACATAAGATTTAAGTTAATCTTATTACTAGTCTAATCCACTAGATGTCACCCCCTTATTTGCCTTGCGAGATGTTACAACGGAGAGTCCGTCATTCATTCATTGCATTTGCGACTGAAAACTACTGCGTGCGACTATGAAAATGTTTTTAGGAGCACCAGTGCGACTGACCCGATCATCATCATACTTGTGATTGCGCTCAGGGGAGCTTCAAATGTTTCTACGTGTTTTTGCAGCGTTGAGTAATGTATCACAGACATATCTCACGAATCCTTTCATAAGCAAAGTGAGAGATTCATTGCGCAGTGTAGAGAGCTTCGTATCGAATCGAATTGAGAGCTTGAAAATCGAAATCAAATCGAATTGGAACATCTGAATCGATACCCAGCCCTAGTAATAACTATACAAACCCTGAAACTACCCCTAAACCTAATCCTAACCCATGTAGTTACCTTATATTATCCAGTACTTTCTTAGGTAAGTACACTGTAAACACAGGTAAGTGCACATACTGTAAAATAAAGTGTAATCGAAATAAGAGTCTTGTGAAAAAAGTACCATAAAAGAAGCCATGCATTGCTATGATAGAATTAATTGAACAATGGGAATTTCAAAGAGATGGATCCAGTGTTATTGTTAACAAAAAATATAAAAAATTATCTTCATTAATTGAAATAAGGTTGAAAATAAAATATAAAGCCAAATCGAAATATAAAAAAAAATATATATAAAAATGACAAAAGCAGAAAATTACTCCAATTTAAACTAAGATTAAGATATAAACTGTATAAATAGCTAACAAGCTATTATAAGTTAATTCAAAATATTAAAAAGATATACAATTTTATACAAATAATACTAAAACTGGGTGGGTCCCATCATTTATTGTCACAGTATGTTTAACAGCTTATTTTAATCTGACCCAACACTTTCTACATCCTCAAAATTCTGTGACGCAACATTATTTTTGAAAAATAGCCAGAAGGGAAGGCCAAAGCTATTAAGGCCTCCACAGAATTTAACAATACGAAAGAAAGCACTGTCTGCCCCACACGATTTTAATAACCTCCAAAACCCCGCCTTGATGTGACATACACATGATTCTAAATCAGTATCGTGTCTGCAGTGTACTTAAGCTGTGCACCCTCCTCAGGCGCTTCACTATGCTGTGGAGCATGTCTGTCTGGAGTGAAAAAGCCAGCCAAACAATGTTTGTTATGCAGGACGCGCAGCGTTGTCCAACGCCGTCCTCGCCTGGCTCACAGCACAGAGGGAACACACCAATGGTTAATGTTTAACAGGCTGCAGGGGCTCTGCAGATAAAGCCTGTGAAGATTTGACATTTCTTCTGTAGCAGAGAAGTAGGACATGACCACTGCTGAGTCACCATCAAAAGACTGAGATCATATTCAGTATTCGACAGAGCGCACCAGACTCCCTTGGGTTCGTCTCATGGAATGATGCACCACTGATGAAGAAGCACTCATGTGGCAGATCCGTAGATCTTTCTCTAAGGCAAAGGCTAATAAATACCAATAAAGATGCAATAGTTGCATCAATGATATTGTATTATTAAAGCAAAAAGCAGAAAGACAACTCTGACAAGTAGGCAGTGAGCTTTGAGCATGTATATTCCAGTCAAGCAGCCTTGACTGCTGCTTCCTTTGGGAACTCATTGCAGAAAAGCTTTTCATTAACAAGATCAGGGTGAGTAACAGCCTCTGTCGTCCTTTGAAGTCTACAGATATCTTGATAAAAACACGCTCATGAAAATGCGAATTCAGGGCTTCAAAGTGGTGATTTAACTGAACTTAGTCTAGCAGACATTAACATTACATTGCTGCACTATCTGCGTTTGATTCTGCAGTGTGAGAGTTCACCTGGTTCATATTCTCACCATCACACATGCAGATGTCAACTTGTAATCTATGAGTGCACGTGTTCTTCCATGGGGTGGAAGGTGTTTTTCTTTTGGAAGTCATTTTCCCCACTAAAACTAATTTAACACCTAAAGATATAATTTTGAGTAAATATCACTGTTCTAGGCTATTTGTTTGCTAGCTGAATCAAGCTACTACTACACATCAACCCCTGTTTGCACTGTTTACTGCAGTCAGTGTCTGTAACTTTGGTTTTTACCTTCTCTGCACCTCCAGCTCCTCTGGTGATGGGCCATTCTGCACCTGAGGGGTCTGTCTTGGCATCGGGGGGCCTGTGGCGAAAAAAAAAAGAGAGGAAAAATCTGGAATGAGCATCAATTTGAAACTTGGAAAGCACTAAAGACTTTGAAATCTGATCAATAATGTAAAGTGCACTGGACTAGCCCCAAAAGAGTAATAGAAGTTGAGGTTTTAGAGCGAGAGAGAGAAACATGGGCCGCTGGCTGCAAGACACATCGATCAGGTGTGTTGGACAGCAAGAGTTAATTAGGACATTATATATCAGGGAAAGGGGAAAAGATTATCTGTAAAAGGAACCGTCAGCAGCAGTTCAAATCACTGTGCATAAAAAAAACACAGTCAGTGCCAGGGTGAATTACTTCACATATTTGTCACTTTATCTAAACAATACATAGCTTTATTTTATTCTTGTCTGAAGGGCAGGACTTTGTTAGAAATGGAAGCATATGCATAACTGTAAAAATATACCAAGCATTAAAAATAAATTAAAAATAAATAAATTATTTATATTGATATTAGTATATATTATAAAATAAAATAAAATAAAAATATAAATGGAAGGAAGGCTGACTGATGACCTTATGCTGGAAATATATTATGCAGATGGAAACCCAAGCCTTGATATTGTCTTATTTTACAGCACAGTTTGGGTATAGAGGCTTTGCTGATTTTGCCAGGCTGAATTTGAGAGCAAAAGGAAGGTAGAGGTCTGAATGAAAGCTTAGCACGAACACAGGACAAGTATCTGCCGTGACATGCTTTACTAATCAATCAATGCAGCGTTGTGCAGGTGAGAGAGGTCTGTTTACAGAGTCTGGAGGTAAGGCCCTCTCTGGAGCTCATTACCAGACTACATGTGCCCACTGCCATTTCCTGTTTATTTGCTTCACACAGCAGGGCATTGCAAAAACAAGAGCTTTTTTATCCTTACACCTGTTTGACCTGTTTCTTTCCTGCAGTTTCATAATTTTAGTGGGGGAAGGTAGTCTAAATAGCCACATAGACAAACTAACGACTACACATCAAAAGGTCTGGTCCACACTGCCGATTTGAGACCATCTGCCTGACAAAGGACCAATAGTTAAAAATGTTTCCAATGGATTTCTCTGAAATGGATTATGCCACAATTATAAAATCTAAGCAAGCTAAAATAACAAAACATAACATTTCACATAGCACATAACAAAAACACAACATAAAACCTAAAACAAAACTAAAATAAAGCAATAAGCCCCGTGAAGCAGTGGTTTACAGTGAATTTATAACAGCTAAGGGGGTTATAAATTCACTGTAAACCACGGCTTCACGGGGCTTATTGCTTTTATAAAACGTTTATTCCATAGACGTAGTAAGGTTTCACAGAATAAAACAGAGCAAATAAAGTGTAATGATATAAATAAAAACAGTATTCTTCCACCAAACAATGTAGTTCCTCAGAAACAGTTGCGGCTCCAACAAAGTGGTTGCCGAGCAACACACAGAAGTAAACAAAGGTGTATGTTTGTAGTGTAATTTACAACAGCTTCGAACACAGCTCAGCCAATCAGAATCAAGGACCGGAACTATCCGTTTTATAAACAATATTTAAAAAACATTAAATTTAACATATAAAAGATAAAACAAAATAAAACAAAACACAACATTTAACAAAACATAAAACAACATCTGTCCTGGGATAATAATAAAATAACATGTTTTTTACATCAACATGAATGTTGGAGCAAAGTAGATCATGGCATGCAAAGCGCACCAAGTAGCAAAGCTAAACTCAACCTTAACCAGAAACAAATGGCTTGCAGAACACATTAATTGGATTAAACAAGTCTGAATGCAGAATTCTCCCTGCAGCACAAGACTCCATGAAAAAATATGACATTAGAGCTGAGCCATCTGGACAAGCCGAGCAGTAATCAACTCATCTGTCAAATCTAATCTAACATTACAATTCTGTGCTCCCCTTTAAGAAAGCCAACCGTTCATTATTGTCCATGTTTGTGTAACCCACTCTACAAATTCCCTTCTTAAATGTTCTGTCTTTAACACATAAAATACACCTACGCTAGCCTTAATGTGTATGTAAAAGGCCCTGTTATATAAGCATTAAGCAAGCACCCGCAGTTTCTCTTCCTGCCTTGAAACAGAAACAAACATTACTCTTAAAATGTGATGAGCTAATCACAAATTATCAAAGCTATTCATAAAAACAGATGATATCTAATGAGTCAGTGGATATAGCCTCTTCAGAGACCAAGGTCAAGTTGTGCAAACATTAACTTTATTTGTTATTATGGCCACATTATAAAGATTTTTGAGTGCAATTTGAAACTCTGACACAAAGGCAAGTATACTTGCCCCATTTAACCCGGCCAATCTGAACAGCACTTTAAAGGCTGGCTCTGGTCTAAAGGCACTCAGTGTCAGCTTTAATATGGACTGATCCTCCTTCAAGCCAGTTTGGTAATGTACTGCCATTAGATCACACTTATTCCAGAAGCAAGCACAAATAAAATAAAATAAAATAATAAATCATAATATAATATGAATTATAAAAATAAAATACAAATAATAAACATGGTGCATCATTAGAAACGCAATTAAATTTGCATCTTATATTAGTTTAATATGTATTAATGATAAAAATAATAATCATTAAAAATAAAATAAACAGTGCATTATTAGATGCATAACTTGTTTCTTAGTGTACTTGCACCACCTTAGCTAGCCGAATTTACACAAAAATGAGTAATTATTCAAACAACACTGCTTACATGTTAATTAGAAAATGTTAAATAAAATAAAATCAGACAGTGAAACTGGACATCAACCTCAACTATCAGCTCAGTTTAAGTTTCTACTTATTAATAGTTTACGGACCAACAGAAAGATAGAGTCAGAATAGCACCTACATGAGAGGAGGAGCGAACCACCAAGCCTCTTCTGACAGCAGATGTACTGTAGAAGTCCATCCTGATCTTTAGGTGCACTTGTAACAAGTGCGCTAGAGCCGTTCGCATCAGCTCCCAAACTGCCATCAATGACTCCGTGAGATCTCAGAGAAAGCAGCATGTTGTTGTGGCTATTCTCAAGCAAACACTACTGTGGTAAGACAAGACCAGACCAATAGGCTGGCAGGTAGACGTTAGACGCTCTTTCACAACGTTCACCGAGCAGGATGTGGTCCACTTACTGCACTTTCCGGACCTGATCAATTATTCATGCCCGGATGGGCGAAGGGTAAAGCGGTCAATGTTACAATCGCATCACAACTATTACGATCAGGTGGGTGGAGAAAAACATGGCTGTTTTTGCTGGTTTAACCCTTTCAAGACAAAGACAGCGAGATAGAGCTGAGACTCTGAAATCTGGTGAGCTACTACGAAGGGTGAATTTTAGATGTCCGCTTCAGAAAAATGAGAACAAATATATTTTCTTCAGGGAGGATCAAGGAAGTCTCTCTAAGCACTGACATGGAGAAACAAAGCTTGTCTTGGCCACAGGAAATCAAGTTATCGGATGATGTCACCTAATGTCAACTAATAGCCATGAATACACCGGACAGCTTTAATTTCACAGAGCTGAATCATCTTTCACCCCATCAAATTCACACCATACTTTAGGACTACATAATAAGCACAATGAGTTTAAAGGGGTCATATGATGCGATTTCAAGCTTTCCTTTCTCTTTGGAGTGTTACAAGCTCTTGGTGCATAAAGAAGATCTGTAAAGTTGCAAAGACTAAAGACTCAAATCCAAAGAGATATTCTTTATGAAAGTTAAGAGTCAGCCACACCTACCTAAAACAGTTCGTTCTAACACGCCCCCACATGTCTAGGTCACTATGTGGAAATATTTGCATAACACCACCCAAATGTTCACGCAAAGAAAGAAAGCATAACTTTTATTCTCGCTGTAGTATTGTTGCCGCTGCCAATAATGATCTTTAAAATAGCATCATATGACCCCTTTAAAGGAAGAAAAAGAAATTCTGCTTCCTTCTGAAACTTTGCTGTCAGTGTTGGAGAGTTTAGCAGTACTTATTATATGTACATACAACACAAATATATTATACTATATGTGACTATATACACTAATACATAAAATAATATTGGATCTCATTTCGTAATATTGTTTTTCTTCTTTTCTAACTTAAAATATTTGAAATGGTACTGCTAAGAAATGTTTGGTTGTCATTAGTGCTGATTAGTATGACCAAAAATGTATATGACGGTATTTTTCAAAATTATAACAGGTTTCACGGTAGGCTACATGACGGTATTTTTTTTTCATGCATGACCGGGTGTTAACCATATTTTCTACTGATTGAGAGAGGAAATACTGCAGTATATTGACTTAGAATGCCCTATTTTACTGTCATGATGAGTGAATATTGTCAAAAAATACCACACTAAATAGTGACTAAACACAACCTCATGCATTTTGTCTCATGCAGCGCACTGCCTGCGTCTGTGTAAAATAAAAAAAAATAAAAAAGTGCATGTGATATGAACTACGCTCATATTTATAATTCCAAACAATCAGTAAGCGACAGGTGCTAGGAAACGCTGTTTTGTACTCATTTATTGACGAGTCGGCTGCGGTGCTGCCAACTGAATGCGCTGCTTCTCTGCCGCTCACTGCACAGAACACAAACAGTGTCGCGTTCCGAACGTTGTTTAAGCGACATACACCGGTATTGCGGTATTTTAAAAATTCATATCATAACAAAAATAAACACCGGTATTCGGTATGAACCGGTATACCGCCCAGCACTAGTTGTCATTGTGTAGTTGTTTCAAACCTGAATTATTATTATTTTTTTAATACTTCTGTGGAACAACAAAAGCTGTTTTTAAGATTTTGGTCCATACAATGAAAGTCAATGAGTGTAAAACTGGCTTGAATTTTAAGATAAAAAAATAATAATTTTGTTTAAAATATATTCTGAAATAAAGTCACACAGATTTGGAATGACATGAGGCTGAGTAAATTATAACCAATTTTTCATTTTTGTGTTGATCCTTTTAACAATAC